AATTATGTGATTATTAAATAAATACTTTAAAAACAAGTTTAGAGAGAACAGTCTATAGGCCAATTTTTTAAAAAAGCATATATCCTCACATACTTTTATGTATACAGGAAATTCTGTGAAAACAGACAATAACTTTTCAAAAAATAAGATTATAGTAGATTACTATTAATATCTTCCTCTGAGAACTGAGGCAGAATTATGGATACATATTTTCTTCTTTAAAAATTTTAGATTTTGTTTATGTATATGAGTGTATTGTCTGCATTTATGTAAATGCACCACGTGCATGCAATGCCTGAAGAGGCCAAAAGAAAACATTGGAGCCCCTGGAACTGTAGTTATGGATGGTTGTTAGCTGCCATGTGGGTGCTGGGAACAGAACTCAGGTTTCTTACAAGAGCCGTCAGTGCTCTTAACCTCTGAGCAATCTCTCCAGCCCCACTTATTTTCTTCCTTACAGATAATTTTAAAGTTTGATAGTTTTTATTATAATGCAGATATAGTTCATATACTCTATAAAATGCTATGAAGATAATTTTAAAAATAAAATACTATATTAAACAAGAGAAGGCCTGAAAAAAATGAATTGAAAATGTGGAACTGTTTATTAGAGAGAAAAGGAAATTGGAGATAAATTAAAAAAGAAAGACAGGTGATAAAGATAAAGGGAAAGTAAGCCGGAAATAGTTGACCATCAATAATTCAGTGGGGCTCAGATCCTGTTCTAGATGCTTCTGCAGTACTTATGTACTCATCTAATCTTTGGAGGAATCCTAGGAGATAGAAGCTGTTGATATCTCTGACAGATGAGGAGACTGAGGCACAAATTATGAGGTCACTTGCTCAATGTCACATGAATAATCAGCGTCTATTTTGAAGTTTGAGCCCTTTAAAGGTTTTGAACCTGCTGGGGGCCACTGAACCCCCTGGCTCTAGAGACTGCACTCAATGGCTACTCCATCCTCAGAAAGAAGTAACTCATATCTTGAGGGTTCAGTTTTAGAACTGTCTATGAATCATAACACATAATTATTTAATCTCCTTGATAATTTTAACCCGTGACAGTTTATCTCCTTATAAGAAGTAAGGCCAGGCTGGAGAGATTGCTCAGCAGTTAAGAACACTGCTTCTTCTTGCAAAAGACCTGGGTTTGAATCCCAGCACCCACATGGCAGCTAACAACTGTCTGTAATTCCAATTCCAGGGGATTCAACACCCTCTTCTGTCCTCTGAGGACATTGCATGACATGGGTGCACTTACATACATGCAGGCAATACACGCATACACATAAAATAAAAATAATAAAATATTTTTTAAAAGGCCAGTGCAAAGTGAGCAACAGACCTTTTTCTGTCACAGAGACATTGGCCATCACTCATCCATCCATTAGTAGCAATTCTCAGGATGAAAAAACACTTGGCAAATAAAAACTTTAAAGTTAGAAGAAAGTTTGGGGTCTTAAAATTCCTCTTGCATCCTTTATTTGGCTAAATGCTTTATAGAGATTCAACTAGAGCAAGGCTCTAACCTCAACTACATCTTCAAAGTTGCTGGGAAATCTTTCCTGTTCTCAACGTTTTGGCCATTCCCCTCAAGACCATTCCCCCCATATTGTGTACTTCCTGAAGAACTCGGGGGTCTCCAAGAAGGAGCTTCCTCCACCCGCCATGCTGTCTCATGGTCTTTCCCGCTAACCAGAGCAAAGCCCTGCCTGGCTCTTGTTCTGGTTTCTTTTCTCCTGAGGCAAGGTCACAGTCTGCTCTCCCAGACAGCTCCTCTGTCTCTTTTGACTCTCCCTTCAGCCTACATACGTGATTAAGACTTTTGTTATTCTAACAACAAAAACAAAACCTTCTTTTGAACTTCTTTCTTTTAGAGATCAACTTTTTTTTGGGGGAGGGTCTTATTTGAGACAGGGTCTCCCTATAGCCCCAGCTGTCCTGGAACTTACTATGTAGACCAGGCTGGCCTTGAACTCACAGAGATCCGCCTGCCTCTGCCTCCCGAGTGCTGGGATTAAAAGCCTGCGACTGAGTAGAGATCACTCTTTTAAGTCATAATTTGAGGGAAAAAACGGTGTGCACACCCACTGTCTAATTGCCCACTTTGCACTTCTCAAGCAAGTCCAATCTAGCTTCTGCCTCACAGCTCCACAGTGTACCAGTGACCCTTCTCTGGGCACTGGTGGTGCTGTGTCCTTGTGTCCTCGAGTTCAGATCCTCTCTGCCACCTTGGGCAGTGCCATTTGTTGAACTCCCCTGCTCCCTAGGTGTTTTGACATCTTGGTCTTCTGACTCAGACCATTCCTTATGTGTCTTCCCATCAGGTTACTGTATTTTTTTAAGAACTGATATTTACAGGAATCCATTTCTGGCCACTTTTCTTCTTACCCCAGTGTTCTAGTTTGCTTTCAATTGTGGTGACAAAACACTTTGACCAGTACCGACTTGGGGAGGAAAGGGTTTGTTTGCTTACATCTCCTGGGTCACGGTTCATCTCTAAGGGAGCCCAAGGTAGGAACTCAGGGTAGGAACCTGGAGGCAGGAGCAGAAGCACAGGCCATGGAGGAACGCTGCTTACTGGCTTGCTCCCTAGCTTGTGTACAATCTGGCTTCCTATACAACACAGGACCACCTGCCTAGAAGTGGCATTGCCCACAGTGGGCTGAACCCTCCCACATTACTCAGTAATCAAGAACATGCCCCACAGACATGACCAAAGGCCAGTGGAGGCAATTCCACAGCTGAGGCTCCCTCTACCCACGTGTGTCTAGTTGACAACCGGAGCTATCCACTAACCAGCACACCCAGGCTTCTCGTTTTTGCATAGTTCTACCTGGGATGCTGAGCCTGGAACTGGATATTTTAAAAGGAAAGTAATATTATTACCTTCCAAGCCTATTCTTCTTCCTGTTATTTATTGCACTTAATAGCATCCAACCAATTAAAGGGGCTGCAAGCATAGGAGTTAAGCATACATTTCTATTCTCTTTAACAATTAACCTATTATCTAGTGCAATCAGTTACATATCCTAAATCTGTTTGCTGTAGACCTCTGTCTCTCCCCTCCTGTTAGTACTGTCCTGAGGGCAATCTACAGAGGCCCTTCAGTGCTCTCATTGTCTCCAAAGTTTGTTTCCCTTCAATCCACTGCTGTGCTAGTGCCAATGGTCCATTAAAAATGAACACACGAAGACTTCATTCTCTTGTTTTCCTCTCTTCCCATCCCACTGTAAAGATGCTCTCTGACATGGCTTACAAGCCCATCAGAAGCAGAACAATGCTCATGTCTTCCTACTTCCTGCTTCTAGTTCAAGTGCCTGTCTTAGTGCTTCACACCTCTTGTATGCCTTATCTCTGCCTATGATGTCCTTCTGAGCTTTTTCTCACAGGTTAAGTCCATTTATCATATTCATGGCAGGTGTCACTTCCTCCCAAAAGACAGAATCACATGTGATTGCTGCTTTCTCTGTGTCCCAGAGAGCCCATGTGTTTCTTTAGCATAGGGTTTATTTATTTTTAGAAGAAATTTATTTATTTTTACTTTTCTATGTGTATGAGTGTTTTTGCCTGCATGTATGTAAGTGCATCCCTGTGGTGCAATGCCCACAGAGGCCAGAAGAGGGCGTCAGATCCTTTGGAACTGGAGTTACAGATGATTGTTAACTACCACGTGGGTGCTGGGAACTTAACCTGTGTCTTCTGCAAGAGCAGCCAGTGCTCTTAATCACTGAGCCATCTCTCTAGCCTGGGCTTATTTCTTTTGCATTAGAATGGTTTGTCTCTTCTTATGTTTCCTCACTGAGGTAGAGCTTCCTGTAGGTGGAATCATCTTATTTGTTTTGGATCTGCTGGGATCTTTGGGATCTACCTGGAAGAGAATGCTGAATATCATAGGTACTTAATACATCCTGCTCTTATACTAGCTGAGCGTGTTTCCTGGTCTTCTGCAAGAACAACCAGTGATCTTAACCACTGAGCCATCTCTCCAGCCTGCATTTTTCTTTTTAATATTTTATTATTTTTATTTTATGTGTATGAGTGTATTGCCTACATGTAGGTAGGTGCAGCTGTGTCATACAATGCCTGTAGAGAGCAGAAAAGGTGTTGATTCCTTTGGAACTGGAGTTACAGATGGTTATTAGCTTCCATGTGGGTGCTGGGAATCAAACCCAGGTCTTCTGCAAGAGCAGCCTTAACTGCTCAGTGCTCTTACCCATTGAACCATCTCTCCATGTCCATATTTGTATTTCTTTATCACTAGAATGTGGAGTCTGTGCAAGCAGAGACCATCAACATCTTATTCACCACTGTCCCCTAACATTGCAATAGGACATGGTGCAATTAGGCTTTCAATAAGTAGTAATTGAAGAAATAAATAATGAATGTTTATTGATCAATTAAAGTTGGTTATCTAGAATTCTGCATCTTGACCCTATCATATGAAGTCTCTTTCATTCTACCATGCTATTTTCGAAAATAAACTACTTCTATTGGGTGGTCAGTTTGATGTGTAGCTTTTGAATATCCCATTTTACTATGAAGGTAAAATTTGGGCAAATGTGTACAAATCTATGTTCAAGAAAATATAGCATATTTTATCATAATGAAATCTTAGAAATAATTTTAACATCTGTTTATAGTCATGGGTATATATAAATGACATTCTTAGTGTGAAAAACTTAAAACTTTGTATTTATGTAGACTATATTAAATGTATATATGCTTTCATTTATGCAAAAGTAGTAACAATTCACCCTGGATGGTGAGATTTTATGGAATTTTTTGTTAACTTTATACTTTCTTGTGGACTTTAATTTGTGTACAACGAACATATATTATGAGCAATGGTTTTCAATTATAAACACAAGATTAGAGTACCACGCAGAATAAATTGTTATGCCTAATTATTTAAAGACATGTGTTGTCTTCTAGCATATTTAACTCTTTCTCCCATGCTAGTATCTGAGCTTGATACACTCATTTTTCTTTCTTCCTAGGTCTCATGTCCCGACTCCGCTATCCAGTTGGGCTGCTGGGCAGCTGTTTACCAGCCACAGCTGGTTTCAGCTATGGTAAAGTACACATATGTGCTGAGGGAAGACATTTATCCATCAGGAAACACCACACAGATGCTTTAAATTCTCAGTTCACCTGAAACATCTATTTAAATATATCTTTTCAAAACTGAAATCTCCAACTGGAGATGCTTAAATAATCCATCTCATAAGAGCAATTTGAACTTGGAGGCCATGTTTTGGTTTGATGTCACATTTCACGCTACATAATTTTCCTCCTTTTGATAAATAGCAATTCCTTTTCTCTGAATATTTAGGGTGTTGCTCTCTGGTTACAAGGGTTGCTGGGAAATGACTCTCTAAGAGAAGCTACCCCAAAGGAATGTCAAATGTTTCCTCTTCACCCGTGTTCAAATAGAATTGGCAATCTTTGATTCAAATAATTTTCTAGCAAATGTGCTTATTTGCAAGGCTGTGAGAATCAGGAAATCTTGTTTCCTAATTTGGTGAAATTTTATTCTCTTAAATTTCTCTCATTAGTAGGACTTGAATATGTTGAAAAAAAAAACCAGTGACAATTATATTGTATAAAAAATTGACTGTGGGCTGGGGAGATGACTCAGTGGTTAAGAGCATTGGCTACTCTTGCAGAAGACCCAGGTTCAGTTCCTAGCACCCACATGGAGGCTAACAACTGTCTGTAACACCAGTTCTGGGGGATCTGACACCCTCTTCTGACTTCCATGAGCATTGCATGGTACGGGTGCATTTGTATGCATACAGGCAAAACACTCAAACATATTAACTAAAAAAAAAACAAATAAAATGTAAAAGAATGTGATTCAGGATCTTGTTAGTTTAAGCAGGTTGGAAAGGTGACTTCAGGGTTTATGGGTATCCCTGTTATTCCTCCATCTGATAGACACTATATGTAAGAAGTTCTACAGTTAGCAATTTAGTTAATTGCTCTTTAATTTCTTTAAAAGTTCTACTTTTTGTAACATTCAAAACAGTTTTACCCTGTTTTGAGCACTTTAGGTAATGGACTCTCTTGTGTCTGATGTCTTCCTGTCCTTATTTCACCTTTAATTTCATGTGTGCTGTTGGTGTGGCTGGCTCATCTTCACTGTGCTGCAGTGCTGCAGTGCAGAACTGTCTGCTGCTTTAGGCAGTCTTTAGGGCTGTTACTCATTTTTAGGTATTATGAATAACATCGTTCGTTACGAACATTCTTGTGTGTGTTTGGATGAACTTCCATGCACATTTATGCTCCAGCTATATTTACCATAGAGGAGACTTGTTGGCTCATAGGCTCTATACATGTTGAGGTCTATTAGACAGAATCAGTTTTCTAAGGAGTATATACAAATTACAGTCCCACCAACAATGTACAACCACATCAACTCCTCCATACTTTTGCTAAGCATTTTCTTAAACATTTTAGCCAATCTGGAGATTATGTGGTGTTATCTCATTATGGTTTAAATTTTGATCCCTAAATTGTTTTGGCTACCTTTTAATAGGTGTAGTGGTCATTTGGAGATTCTTCTTATGACTGAATATTCATCCTTTTTGCCCTTCAAATCTAGGGTATATCCATTTTCTGACTGATTTATTCTTATTTTGAATAGGTAGTCTTTATTGGTTATATGTTTCAGAAATGCCTTTCTCAGTCTGTGTCTTGCCTTTTCACTTAAAAAATGGGTGTTTTTGATGAACAGATACAATTATGAGCTGCAGTTTATCAATATTTTCCTTTGTGGTCATAGTCTATCAATTAATTCTATGCCATTGCCAAGGTCATCAATATATTCCCTCATGTCACTTTAAAACATCCTTTGTATTACAGGGGGCAGCATCTTCCCACTGCGGGAGTGTGTGGGGGTGGGGGTGGGGAGGGGCTCATTAGCTTTAACAGTTCGGCCAAGTGCATTATTCTAAAGTTCCAGCAGATGGTGGTGTTGCTGTATAAAAAGTAGGTGCCAAAAAGTTATGCTTTGACAGATTCAAGGGAATTATTTTATAGAACAGTTCTCATTTTCTTCCTGATTTATTTATGAGAAATGAGAAATTTACAGCAACACAGATTTTTAGACACATATACTTTCACATACTCTTAGATATATTTGGATTAGAGTTCTGACGGTGGACAGGGTTAGTAGATGAACTGATTAGACTTTTCTTTTCCAAGGAGATTATACACCAAGGCAGGACAGCTTCTTAGAGGGAGAGTGTGAAGAACAGCAAGAATTGAAACAGGAAAGGGAAATATCCTGACTTCGTCTGGTTCACTAGTTTTACACCACAATGCAAACAGACTGGGAACATGCATGTTTTAGGTCCCAGACCTAGTTTTGGTCAAATTTGTTTAGAAGGGCACAGAGATGTGTTTCATATGACATACTTTGATAGTCATCATTTGTTATATATTCCTCTCTCCAAGCAAGTAAATCTTTTAAAACTTGATGCATTACGCATTCAGGCCACAATGAGAGTGCTGAAAATAATTACAGATTCTCATCTGCTGTTTTTAACCTCTATATAAAACAAGGAGATGGGACTAGACAAATCCCAAGACTTTTCTAGTTATATTTTAGCATTCTTTCTTCTATTTGTAACATGAGTGGTTTATTTTTCTAGAAAAGTGGGAGATAGATCCATCTGAGTTGGCTTTTGTCAAGAAGATCGGAAGTGGTCAGTTTGGGGTAGTCCACTTAGGGGAATGGCGAGCACATGTCCAGGTCGCCATCAAGGCCCTCAACCAAGGCTCCATGTCAGAAGAGGATTTCATAGAAGAGGCCAAAGTGATGATGTGAGTATAAGCCACCCCAAATAAATATGACCCAATACCTGAGGTCATAGACAGAGCATGAACTTTGGAGTCCGGCACACCTAGATCTGTGTCACAACTCTGCCTAAGAGGGTTGTGTAATCCAGGAAAATTATTTAACCTCTGTATGGCCTGAGTGGATTATTTCACTTTCCAATCTTCAAAGACCTTAACCTATTAAAATTGGGAATAATTGTACCTATATCACAGGATCAGTCTGAGAGTTAAGTGAAATGATTGACAGATGAGACAAAGAAGTATATTCTTTTCAACTCAGAATAGATACTTATGAAGTGTTATTTGTTTGGTGTTTTTTTTTTCCTTTCTCTTCCCAGAACCAAAAGTGTTGTTTTGTTTTGTTTTTTGGTCTTTTTGAGACAATGTCTCTCTGTGGCCCCCAGCTGGCTTGGAACTTACGGTGTAGACCAGGCTGGCCTTGATTTTTCAGAGATCTACCTGCCTCTGCTCTCAGAATGCTGGGATTAAAGACATGGGCGTCCACACCTGGGTAAGAGTGATCATCTTTTGAAAGGGCAACCCCTAGTGGTCAAAAGAGTTGTTTTTTTGTTTTTTGTTTTTTTAATGGTATGGGTAAAGTATTTGCTTTCACAAAATTTAAGAATTCTGGACATAAGAAAAGAAGTGGCTCTTTCTAGATCATTGTACAATGTTCTTAATACAAACAGTTTTCCAGGATGGCATTTTGATTCGATTGAAACTGTGGTTGTGGTTTATGACTATAATCTAGGCTGGCCAGGACAATAATTTGACACAGTTCAAATCAATATTCTGTAAACATTTATTGAACCTTTATTTAGAAGAGTTACAAGGCTATGAAGAAGGAAAATCCAGGTGGCCTCGTTTCAACTGTACTCTATTGTCTAGAGCAATTTAGTTCTGTCCCAAACTTGCAGACCCCAATAGGAAACAAAATAAAGACTAGACAACACCCAGAAGTGATGAACTGGACCCATTCTCCTTGGATGGCAGATCAATTATGTCTTTGGGAGTTTTTAAGCTCATACTTCAAATATCCTATCAAAATATCTTGTCTATCCAATTTCAACAGAATGCATCTCGATGGAAGTTATGATAAACATAATTTTCCAGGGACATCAGCTTCCTAATGATCTTCTTATAACAGAAGCAGCAGTTTACTGACCTATGCTTCTACATCCATCTGATCAAGGTTTCCTGCATCTGAAGTACAATACTTCTGTGTTTTGGCTTAAATAAGTCTAATAGCAAAAGAATGAATAGGAGACTTGTGACTCCTTATTGAATGAGATGTCTTGATGATGAGGGTCTTCTTGAAAGTCCAGCCTGGCAGGGAAAGGGACTTAGTACCTCTAAGGATGTTTGTTGTGAAGCTATTTCCGTGGAAGGAAATATTCTCTCTTGTTTATAAGACTCAGGAAGCTAAGGAAACTTTTAAGGCTCAGGAAACTCAGAAAGTTACAAAATCTACAAGCCTTCTTCCCAAGGTTATAAAATTCTTTGCGATTTTTATAAAATTTATGCGATTCTTTCCTGGGGAGCTGACTCCAAATTGTGCAGGGATCTCCAGGGATGTATTTTTTTTCAAATTTTATTATTTTTATTTTATGTGTATGCATATATTTCCTGCATGTAGGTAAGTGCACCCATGTCATGCAATGCCTGCATTGGTCAGAAGAGGCTGTCGGATCCCCTGGAACTGGAATTGTGGACAATTGTTAGCTGCCATGTGGGTGCTGGGATTTGAACTCAGGTCTTCTGTAAGAACAGCCAGTGTTCTTAACCACTGAGCCATCTCTCCAGCCCTGGGATTTTCTTTTTTTTTTTTTTTTGGTGAGTTATCACCCATGCTGGAATGATCGTTCCATGATGTAGCTGGTTTTGAGTCACCCACGCTACTCTAAGTACCCCATAATCACTGGTTCACCAAGCTAGATTTGGGTGGAATTGTTCCTTTGTTCTTTTGTCAGTGCCCTATCTGGGGTAAACAGACATTTGTTCATGTCTTCCCAGCAAAAGTCTCTTGGAAAAGTTATTTTGAGGACGATGGAACATGTACGGAATGTTGAGAATAGAAACGGCTCCTGGCGGTTTCTTTAAGTAGAAATGAATGGCTTATTTTAAGTCAATTCAGATGGACATGTGTTCTTGAGTTTAACATAACTATCTTTTTCCTTGATATTTGAAAGCAAGGTGGTAAAAGCTCCATTCTACATTCTATGCCCCATACTCATCTTTAACTAGCTGGCATGTATTGAGCAGGGCTCTGCATGTGTCATTGCATTCTGAAGCTGTGCCAGTTTCTCTTCTTCCAGAAGGTCTTTGCTGATTACTCTGTTTAAATTGGTACACTCATCCCCAACGTGGTCTCTTGGCCCTACTACATTAACAAATTTTGCATTGATATCACCTTATGCCAAGACTAGTTACTGCTATGAAGTTTCATATGTATTTATTTTGTTTCTCCCATATTAGAATGTGAACTACATAATAATAGAGCCATTGATTTATATCTGTCATTCACCTTGGTGAGTGCTCGATACAATGACTAGCCTATAGTCGGAAAACATTTATGAATAAAGGAATCCTTACCACAATTCTAGATGCTAGGGTCTAAGATTTCAATTTTATAGTTGAGAGAAAGGAAATCTAGGAAGCTTACCTACTTTGTACTTCCACAATTAGAGTTTCTAACTGAAATCAGAACCTTGAAATGTCTGGGCTCTCTAACACAGGAAACAACAAACATTCAAGAGACTTTTGTATGCTGAATCTTATGGTAGATGTCATAGCTGTTATCAAAACCTGTGTAGATTAAAAACTGTACCATGTTCTCCATCATCATATGGAAGGATATTGTGTGTATTGGGTCGTGTCTTCCAGGGTTTCCAGAGCTAAGGACTATTTAGAGGAATGAAAAAACCAGTCTCTTCCCTTTATATAACATGTTTACATAAAATCCCATAAATCTTCAATTTTTACCTTTATACTCTTACCTTGGTTTATACTGTGTGTCATATGTTCATGAACACGACCTCATTGAATCTCCACTGGAAGCTAGGAGCCCACTTTTTATCATTCCATTTTACAACGAAAAACACCAGAGCTTAGACGATTTTAAAAGTTGCTTCTGATCAAGGAACCAAGAGTAGTAGAAAAACCTTGACGGAGCTCAGCAGTTTGGATCAGGAATCCTACAGCCTCCTTATGTTATTAAAGCCCTGTACTGCCTGTAACGGAGCCTTTGTTTTGGTTGTTCAACTGTTGGTGAACAGAAAGGAGGAAAATGTAATATTTTTGTAAGTATGTTATTGAAAGCAATGTACTATACAGGGATTACAAACCAGTAACATATAATAAAACATATATAGGCACATCTAATTTTACTAAGAGTTTTAAACAGCTAATAATTTTTAAAAATATTTTTTATTATTTTTTATGTGTATCTGTGTATTGCCTGCTTGTAGGTAAGTGCACCCTGTTGTGCAATGCCCACTGAGGACAGAAAAGACTGTTGGATCCCCTGGAACTGGAGTTATGGACAGTTGTTAGCTGCCATGTGGGTGCTGGGATTCGAACCTGGTGCAAGAACAGTCAGTGTTCTTAACCACCGTGCTATCTCTCTAGTGATGAATATGACAGGTGTGGCCCCTACTGTCAAGGAGCTCTGTGTTCAAAGGCTCCAGAGAGGGATAGGGAGGAAGGCAGGTGGCAAATCAGGAAATATAGGAGTGATGCAACTGCAGAAAGAAAGTGCCCAGACTGCAGCCAGGAAGTTGTGACAGGAACAAGGATCAGGAGTCAATTACATTGGACGGTCAGGGAAGATTGGAAACGCTTGATCTGGTTTGTATTTTATATGGGTTGTACTGTCTGCTTGGTAGAGAATGATTTCTGGGAATCCAAAGTGGAGTGGGAGGGTCAGTGGAAGTCACTGCAGTGAGTGATCCAGGCAGAAGATGATGGTAGATGTGATGAAGGCAGAAATGGGAAGAAAAAGTAGTTTCAGGGTGTGGTTTTGAGATAACGTATTGAGATACTAATAAATGGAGTGCAGCAGATAGTTGGGGGAATCAGGGAAACTGATGACTCTGTAGTATTGAAGTTCATGGTTAGGTTCCATTTATGAGGGTGGAAAATTGAATAGATTTTGAGGAAAATCAAGAACTCAGTTTTGGACATGTTGAATATGAGAAGCCTATTAGAAGATCAGAAGTGACTAAGTAGTCAGGTAAATGTGTGGGTTCACGAGAAAGGTCAAGGTGGAGGGCATGAATTTGAGAATGGTCCCCAGAGATGATATTGAAAACCATGAAACATGATTCTATTACCAAGGGATGAGGAAGAATTAGAGGACCACAGGAAGAGGCTACAAAGGGTTTGAAAATACTTAAATGGCAAATCCAAAGGAATATGACATTTGTCCTACAAGAAATTGTGTGCATGTCTCTAAACTGAGGAATAATACGTGTTAAGAGGTACTAAGGCTGCAGCAAACACACACAGTTTTCTACTTGCACGTCTCTATGGCTATGGGAGTGTGCTTGTCTTATTTGTTCAATGAACCACATGGGAAGCTTTATTTGTTTTTGCCTTGTGTCTCATGGAGAGTTGTCTTTTTTGGATAGATTTTTACCAGGAGTCTTATTAAGCAGATGCAGTACAATGTTTTAATTCTCAAATGCTTCTGTGTAGGTTTGGAGCTGGATTTCTAATAGTGTGTAAGAGTTTCATTCTGGGACTTGCTTTCCTGACATTATCCCACACATATGCAAATTGCATTTCTTAACTGAAAGTATAGTTTATGAACTTGAAAGGTAAATCAGACAAACTATATATAATATATATCCATATCATAATATATATTCAGACACACAATGCAAATTAAAGTAATATTTGAGTTCCCTGAATGCCTCTTGTTCCTATTAATTGGAGTGTTTTCATTAATTTTATGGTAATATGTCTGTAACCACTACATATATATTTTTTAAGGTAAGTAATTTTCCCATGCCACTAATTTTATTTTACCTTTATGATTGAAGGGTATTTCTGGGGTACTTTTCATGGTATTTCTGACTAACAGAATTGCTTAATTAGAACTTTTTTTCATAGTGGCCAGTGCCATAAAAGGCATTTAGAGATTGAATGGTACAGTCCACAGAAAACCAATAAATGTGTGAAGCCTAGATTACTAAAACTTTGTGATTATAATTTAATAGAAAACATTCAAGCTCTGTGTGATCACCAAATACACAAAATGGCTTCATGCTAGTAAATGATTTTTAGTCTCCAGATTTAGCTAACATTTTACTTTTAAATGATTTTACTCTTTACAATCCATGTTCTTTTTATGCCCACCAATCACTCTTTCCTCCAGGCTGCCTGTTTGGAATTTTCCATGTAAAGGCTATAGTTAGGAATATTGGAATTCAAAGAACACAAACTCTTGAGACCTGGGGCAGGAGAATCAATAATGAAGAAGCAAAAGCTGACAGCCAGAAAGAAGAAAATGAAACTGCTCACAAGTAGCATATGATGCAGTATTCCATATCCAGGACTTTGGATGTGCTGCTCAAACTCCTGACCCTATGTTTTCAGTGAATAAAGCGGAAAAAAAAATGCTAGGCTTTCTTGGTGGTTGGGTTGATGTTTATCTTATCTTGAATATGAAAATGATGTATTACTGCTTTAAGATGCAAAACTGATCCTGCTCACCGGTGTGGTTTTCTTCAACAGGAAACTGTCACATTCAAGGCTAGTTCAGCTTTATGGGGTGTGTATACAGCAGAAGCCCCTCTATATTGTGACTGAGTTTATGGAAAACGGCTGCCTGCTTAACTATCTCAGGGACAGAAGAGGAAAGCTTAGGAAGGAATTGCTACTGAGTGTGTGCCAGGACATATGTGAAGGAATGGAGTACTTGGAGAGGAACTGCTTTATCCACAGAGATTTGGTAAGTCTGCTACAAATTCACTTACTGTTTCACACTCTATATCCAGATTCAGAAGGGTATGGCAGTTGCTTTCAGTGCTTTGAAGAATGTACTTTCAGCTTAATTTTTAAAAATTTAATAACCACATGATTAGAAGAAACATTTCATTACAGCTTTAACACATTCAGTAACAATTTCCAGAGCAAGGATACATCTCTTTCAAAAGTGGCTGTAAATATTTAGGTTCACAGTTGAATTAATATAGTTATAAAATATTGAACTCACTATAAACCCTGTAAGATATAAAATTGAATGAGTTTTTTTAACCTTTAAAGATCTCCATTTCATTTTAAAATATGCTGTTTCCTACATTTTTAATGCTACTAATGCTTAGATGTTTGCACATGTGTCTTTAATCTCTATGTATCTGATTATTACTAGACACAGTTGGTTACACTTGGCTCTTTGGCACCTGAGT